ATCAAAGTTCTCATATTTTAACATAAAAAAATTCATTTTACATAACTTAGAAAGAAAAAAATACATAAATACAAATATAAAAATTCTATTTCTTATAGTTCAACACCCAAATGAATGTTGTATGATAAATGATGATAAAAATGACTTAATTTTACAACAACGTGAATAAATAATTTAATTTTAAAATGAATGATAATAAATAATTTAACTAATTCAAATTTAAGTAACAAATTTTAAACATAACTATTACGTTATTATTAATGATATATATTTATAATCTATTTTTAAGGATTAAGTAAAAACATTTTATTTATGTAATTTTATATTTCGGATAATCTAAAGTTTGTTGTGGTATTGTCGTGTTGCAGCGTAATTTATAACATATTGCGGCGCTACATAACGGTTTTAGACCACAATAATCGTGATACAGTTTTTTTGTCGCGTTGCACCGATATTACGTCGCGGTAACCTTCAAAATTGTTACGATGCGGCCTTTAGGCTGCGTTGGGTCCGTAATTTAATACTATGTGTTCCAGACATGAGAGATGAATTTTGGTCGGTTTGAAGTAAAGGTTTTAGGTAATGGAAATTAACTTAATTAAGTAATTAACCGTTGTTTTTAAGGTTTATGTATGGAATCCTTCTGACAGACGTTCCATTTGTTGAAGATGACGTTGACTTAATTTTGTTTGTGTTGACCATAACCATATTTTTTTTCTGTTTTCTATGGTTTTCGTGTTAGATTCTCTCTCGCAATCCTAGACCACTCACAGCACAATTCTGTGGTCTAATTTTTAATTAATTAATAATTTCTCTTATGTTTAAAATTTGACCATTTTATATAAAATGTAACCGCCCGTGTATTCATAGAGAAAGAGCAGCAAAATGTAACTGATGAATTTATTTCATTTGTAAATGCATATAGAAAAGAGCATGTTCCTCCCCTTGATCTTCTTTATATGTAGTTCTATGGAATTCCTCAGTTACTTACCTTTTTTGTGTCTGGTTTTTATTAGTTTGTATATGACACTTTGTTGACTTTTGAATATATATATATATATATATATATATATATATATATTGGTTAGTGTCTTTATGTATTGAATTGTATGAATCAAACAACTTCAATGATAAATGAATTATTGTTATTTCTTGAGGTATCAAATTTGAGCACCAGGAATTAGGGATGGCAACTCAACCCGAATCCGACGGGTTCCGACCCGACCCGATCGGGTCGGATTTTTTAAAAAAAAATCGGGTTCGAGTCGGGTCGGGTCGGGTTTTTTTTAAATGTACTGTTCGGGTCGGGTCGGGTTTAGGGTGAAAAAAATCCGACCCGACCCGAAAAATATATATAATTTTATCCTATATATTTAGGGATAATTTCAATAATGTCCCTCCGTATATAATTTTTTTCAATTAAGTCACTGTTTTCATTGAATAATTTTTTTTTTATTATTATTTCGGGTCGGGTCGGGTCGGGTTTCTAAGTCATATATTCGGGTCGGGTCGGGTCGGGTGAAACCTTAATTTCGTCGGGTCGGGTCGGATCACATGTGAAAAACCCTTTCTTCTCGAGTCGGGTCGGGTGGCCCAAAAACCCGACCCGACCCATTGCCATCCCTACCAGGAATGCTAGAAATGTGAGTATTTAATGTTTAATGGTTGAGAGTTATCTTTGAACAGATACTACATTATACTTACATCAGATTAATAATATATATATATATATATATATATATATATATTGAATTTTTTATTTGTCATGAATCTACCTCGTAGATTGAATATCCCATTTTCTACCAGATTTTGATCTCTTTTTTCTTGTGATGTCATCCATTAATGGTCGTCTTTTCCATTATCTGGGTCACATTTTTTTTGTCCTTCCTCGATCAATTCTTGTCACGATGGTAGCAAGAGATTGTAGTTAAGGGAAAATTGGTTTTTCATCCGTCAGCTTTAGATACTCTCTAAGTTCTTCTCCTTAATTTATGTTTGATGTTTGTGATGCCAAAATAATATATCTCTATATGTCGTTGCCTCAACTATTTATCAAGAACAGAGCTATGATTTTAGTTCAAGGAGCGTAATATAATTAACAATAAAAAATGAGAGGGAAAAATCAAAATAAATTAAAACTTGAAGATCTAATTAAGTATTTATCTCTATATTTTTAATAATAAAAAAGTTAGAGGGGGCAGTGGATCCCGGAACTACACATACACATAGTTCAGTCACTACTATTCACGTTTTTGTTCATCATATGTCATTAATCTCTCCTTGTTATATTTTATTTATGATTCCCCTAAATGTATATTTGATATTATTCGAAATAATACTCTTTATAATTAATACAATCTACATACCTATCTCAAACAAAAAGAGATGATGTAAAATCAAGTTGCTTGGGCTGTTTTGGTAGAGCTTCAGGGTTGGGGGCAGGAGAGGCTGTCACATTTGTTGGTTGTGCAGGTATTTGTTTCAATGCTCGTGTTTGTTGCTTTCTCTGTGGTTCGGTGGGATTGTGTTGTGTTTTGTTATCTTTCCATGTTGTTGGAGTGGTGAGCAAGAGGAGAGTTGTTCCAAGGGTGTAATTTTCGTGAATGTTGTTGAGTTCGGGCTTTATGTGGCTGTTTTGTACCTAGTGTACTCTTTTTCTCCACTTAGATTTAGTGCGGTTTTTAACGAGGTCCCTATCTATAGTTTAATTTTTAAATAAAATAAATTGCCAATAAAAAAAAGTTGGTGGACCGACTTTGAAATTCCTTCTTCCCTTTCTCTCACACACGTATAAGAAGCAAATTTGTTTTTATACAATTTTATTATTGGAGACGATTACTATTTTGATCAACTATTCAGGGGATCTAGCAGTATACCTATATTTGTAATATAATGTAAAGTTTAGATTTTTTGAGTGCTAGAGTTGGGAACCAACCTTATCATGGCGTAGCATTTGGAGCTCTCTAGAGGAGAGGCTAAAATGGAGAGTCGAAATTTGTCCAAAATTGGTGATAAAAGAATATAAAGATTAAATATTTTTATTGAATAAATTCTTCAAAAATGATTTGAGATGTGACTAAACACTATATAATATAAATTTAGTTCTTAAAGGTGTTTGGGAGCCGGTGCTTTCCGTGCTTAAGGGCTTGCAACAGACAAAAGTTTGACTACAGGTCAAAGCCTTGTGTGTTCTTTGGTTACTCGCCTCAACATCACGGTTATTAGTGCCTTGATAACACAAGTCGGATTTTTGTGTCTCGAAATGTTTCGCTTAATGAACATGTATTTCCATGTCCTGTAGTTAGTGCAGGTGTGAGTAAAGACAGACTACAGTCTACTTGGGCTGTTCTCTTTCCTTGTCCTGCTGAGTGTGGGTTGTAGTCTCGTAATGATAATGTTCAGATGGAAGAGTCACGACAATCGAGTAGTAATTGTAATGAGATTGCTGATGTAACATCTAATCATGTATGATCTGCTTATGATAATGCTTCTGTTAATGTTCTTGTAGAGGATGGCAATAATGATTCTCATGAGCTCTCTCTAGACAGTCAAGAGGTCATGAACAACCAGCTGGTACTATAGGTGCTCAAGTTGAGCTTGTTGATGAGCAGTCCTGCAACACTCATCCAATGGTCACTCATAGCAAAGCATGGGTGTTTGAACCCAAAGTTTATCACACTATTCTTGATGTCACTCCTCGTGTGCAGGACGGTTTAAAGCATAAAAAATGGAGGCTGGTTGTTGAATCTTAATATAAAGCTTTAATAGATAATGACATTGAAAGTCGGTTCATCTGCTTTCAGAGTGAAAGACGATTTACTGTAAGCGAATTTTAAGAATTAAGTATAATTTCGATGGTCGTTACAAAGCCAGACCAGTGGCCAAGGGTTTCTCGCAAGTCCCAGGGTGCGATTTTGTTGACACATTCAGCCCTGTAATTAGATTTTTTACCTTGAATATAATATTGTTTATTGTTGTCTCTCGTGGGTGACAGGTCCAGCAGGTTGATGTAAATAATGCGTTCCTGAAAGAGGATCTCCATGAAGAAGTCTATATGAAACAATCTGAAGGTTTTGTGCAAGTTGGAAAAAATGGTGAACCACGTGTGTGAAAACTAAATAAAGATGTTTTTATGGTTTGCTTCAGACACCGCAAAATTGGTTTAATAAATTGCGTGATTACTTATATTCGTTATGTTTTTGGTCGTCCTGAACTGATAATTCTTTGTTCATCCGTATAACTGATGATGCAGTTAAGTATATTGCAGTTCATGTAGAAGACATCTTGATCACTGGATCATCTGAATCTCAGGTTCAACAAGTTAAACAAAGGCTTAACGATAAGCTCTCTTAGGGATCTTGGCGCCTTACAGTATTTCTTGGGAATTGAGGCAGTTCGAACAGTTTTGGGATCATTTCCTTGCCTAAGAAAGCATGTTGAAGAGCATCTTGACAGATTCAATATGCTCACCACTAAGCCTGTTGACACTCTCATTCTGGTCACACCTACAGTAAAGTCGAGGAGCACCGATTGATGCCAGATGTATCGTAGTGTTGTTAGGGCCTTGTTGTATGTCTGTCACACCAGATCATATATTTCTTTTGTCGTGCATAAAGTGTCTCAGTTTATGCAAAAAATGGAATTAGTCAGGTGTTAAACGTATACTAAGGTATCTCAAAGGTACTTTGGATTGTGGCCTTTGGATTGCTCCTCAACAAGTTGATTATGTTTTGAAATCTGTTACGGATGCTAACTAGGGTAGTGATCCAGATGATCGTTGGTCTATTTTAGGATTTTGTGTTTTTTTGAGCAATCACTTGTTGTGTTGGTGCTCAAAGAAGCAATGTTCTCTTTTGATCCACTGCAGAGGTCGAATACAACTGATTCTATATCTAAGACTCTTTGGATTTAAGTTGTGTTGAATGACATGGGTGTGCAGACTTCGAAGATTGGAAAATAACTAAGAAAAAGCAAGAACACTTAAAACTACCTTACAAGTTTATGAGAAGAAACTTCCATTAATTCAAGGTCTCTGATCCTTCAAGTCCTTGACATAAGGCATATCTTCATCTTTGTGCTTGAGATTACTGTGGTATATTATAAGGCTATGTCTGCTATCGAAATCCTTGACAAAATTGTTCATTTTCTTCCCGGAACCCATAGCTGAAGCTTGATCTTGATGCAAAAGGCCTTTGATTGCTTCAGGCATCGGTTGGTCCTTCATTACATTTTTCCAGTAGTCCCTTGGTTCCTCTCTCGCATGGCTGAAGTCGGCGAACTATTTAACAAAATAATCAAAAAAGCACTCATCAAAGATCGATAGGTATAACTAAATGAAAAGTGATATTAAAGAGTATTTAAAGAACTCAGTAGGACATAATGGGCTTACCATGAGAAAAATGCAGAAAATGAAGAAAACAATTGAAGTCTTCATGTCTTGGTTGAATCAGAGTAAGATTTTGCTGTTTTGTGTGTTGTAGGCTGCTGAAGATTGACCAACCCTTTTTATAGGCAAATAAAGTGATTATATTATTATAATTCACTGTTTTATATAAAGAAACGTGTATTTTAAGCTTTGCATAAGATAATTAAACACATCAACCTTTTAGGAGCTCGCCAACTTTTGGTGGTTGACAATATTCCCACAAGTGGTTGAATAATTGAAATTTTTTATACAATACCATGAGAATTTGTTTATGGAATATATATATATATATATATATATATATATATATATATATATATATATATATATATAGTTATAATCCATTTACACAATATAAAACTCTTTAGTTTTACACAGAGTTTGGATCGTTAGATGAGTGAAATCAAGGACGGACGCAAGATTTTATGTTAAGGGAGCAAACTTAAACTTAAGGGGGATGAACTAAAATTCCAGGAGGGCGAACTAAAATTATAGGGGGCGAAGCATATTTTCAATAGGAAATACATAATTTTTTTAAAAATATATAACAATTTTAATTTTTTTTGGGGGTAGGGCCCCCACTCGCCTCCCGATCCATCCCTAAGTGAAATTAAAGGTTTAGATTAACTCATTGTTTTTCTCCAAAATGATAATCTCCACAATTCCTACTTTTAATTTCAACCATCTATTTTCACTCATCTAGCGGTCCTAAATCTGTGCAAAACTAAAAGAATTTTACATTGTGTATATATATAAAAAGGTTAGGATCAACTTACAACACTCTTTTAGGATTGTTGGATGAGGGGAAATCGAAGGTTGAGATTAACTCCTTGTTTTTTCTCAAGTAAATATCTTCTCACATTCCTTTTGTTAATCTTAGCATTTGATATTTCGTCATCCAACGAACCTAAAAGAGTATAAAACTCTTTAGTTTTACACTATCTAACTGGATCCTAGCTCATATATATATACACACACATGGTAAGATGTTTTTATTAATGATTTGTGCTTAACTTAATAATTCTAATCTTGAAGATGGGTTTGTTTGGTCTCAACTTTTGCATGATCCTATTGTTGATTCTCAACTGATCAATGACAAAAGACTAAACAACGAAGTGCAGAGGGAAGTGGCTGAGACTGTGTGGAAAGATTGAAAAGGGGGAGATATTAGCATTTGGTTTGGCTCTTTAGAGGCTTAAAGTCAACTTGATACACCATTTTCCATTTTGTGCTTATCAAAGAGAAATTCTCTAGATGTAACCATTTTCAACTTGGTTGGGACGTTATGTTCATGACAAGTGGTATATGTTCATGACAAGTGGTATCACAATCACCTCACCTTGAATTAGCATGTGAAGCCACATGATATAATTGACCCACTCTTAGGATCATGTGGAGTCTAGATGTGCATATATTAAGACTAAATGGATGGTACAATATCTCTCTAAGAGAAACACCTAGGTATAATTCGAGGTCTGAGAATCCCGTGTAGCACTCTTGGTTGAGGAATGCGGTTGGACTCTAACTTTCGTTAAGCCCTGTAAAATCTTTCGTCATAGAGTACTTGTGGTTTGGTGTGTAGCTTTTCATATGTAGCAGAGTTAGCTTTATATGATGGCACTATATGTGAAATGCTTTACTGATATAGTTCCTCCAAAGTGCATCGATGACCTTGTCGCTGATGTGATACGGCCACTTTCGGTTAGAGTCCTAATGAAAGGTCAATCATTCACGTTGTCAACTATAGGCAAAGGAAAAAGGAAAGGCCTATGCCCACTTTATGTTGCTGCTGATACATAGTGCAATGTCCAAAACCTGTGTGCTGTATAAGATTCAATGAATATCGGCAAAGACTTTTAGGTGTATGGTAATGTAATCTTTCTGAATAGACATGTTTCACCTTTGTTGACAATTTTAGTGAAAATGAGTTCTGGAAATTGCCAATGCAAAGAGAGTGGAACATGTGAAGCTGCTAGTATTTGTTAGGCATCAGTGCTATGTGATGGTGAAGTCTCGTTGAAACATGCATATATTCATAGTCAACTCCTTTTGCAGAATTTCTATCCCACTATCACAACATTCACCACCACAAATTTTCAGGTTTGCTAGTTTGTTGGGTCAGTTTAAAATCCATCACTTCACTAGAAAAATATATACTATATTTAATGAATTTATTCATTTTATATTGTTATATCTTCTCATTACCTTCTTCATAAATTGTGTTTTTATTATCTTTTATCTATCGAACCCTTCAAAATTTTAGAAGTCTTCGAAGTTATATATCCTTTGTGGAAAATTCTATGACGCATATCGCATATTGCAGCACACTACTAAAACGACGTATCAAAACACACTATTAACTAAATTGTTCTTATTAAGTAAATGTTAAAAAGGATAAATTACATGTTTTGTACCTAAATTATCACTTTTGTTTCCTCTGATCAACTACAATCTTATGATACGACCACTAATAAACTTACACGATTTGTCACAACCAAATTGACAACGATATCAATTTTTCTTGTCAACCTTATTACTAAGACTTGATACCAACACTATAAATCTATATAAAATTTACCTATACTAAAAAAATAGTTTTAAATATTCTCTCTAAACCGATTTTAGTATTCAGCATCCTCTCTATGTTATCTATTCTCTATTTTTCTATAAAATCATTAATCACCATTGTTCGTCCAAATAAGAAGAAATGGACAATAAAAAACTGTCCTAATCTCAATTCTTCAACAATAACTTTATCATGCGATTCATGCCAAAGATGAATGAATCAACATCGACATGGTTATGCCTGATTATGGTCTATTAGCTAGATTTTTTCTCTCAGTTTATTTAATTTCTAAAACTTGATATCCATGAAGCTTTATGAGGGACAATATTTGATTCAAGTGGGCTATAATTCTTGTCTCTTTTCATATCAGTCCAAATTTTGATTCCCCTTTACTGGTTATCCAGGCCAGATAAAGACTGGATATGAAACAAATTGGGCCAAATGGCTAATAAGCAGGACCCCAAATTGATCCATGGAAGGTTCTCTATGTTGATATGAAGCCCCTTACTACAAATAAAATATAAATTTGTAGTTGCAGATCCCATCCATGGAGGAACATTACTTCGATCGTAAAGTGGAAAGATTCGTTGGATGTTTGTTCTTCTGAAATGCGTAATAAGCTCTCTTATTCGATCTTTCCATCAATTATCTTTCTTTCCCTAGTTTTCCTCTTCCTTTACTCCACTTTTCTCCCTCTCTATACCAACGACTCCTCTTCACTGCCCACTAAAAATTTCCTTCCTTTATCCTCTTATTCTACTTGCAACCTGTTCGATGGCCATTGGGTGTTAAATTCCACCAAAGCCAAGCCTTTCTACGATGGGACCTGCCCATTTCATAGAAACGCCTGGAATTGTCTTAACAACGAAAGGGACAACATGGGAATCATCAATTCATGGGAATGGGTACCCAAAGATTGCAGCTTGGAGAGGATTGATCCCTCGAGGTTCTTGGGTTTGATGAGGAATAGGAATATTGGGTTTGTTGGGGATTCTTTGAATGAAAACTTTTTGGTGTCTTTTTTGTGTATTCTTAGAGTGGCTGATGGAGGTGCTAAAAAGTGGAAGAGAAAGGGAGCTTGGAGAGGGGCTTATTTCCCTAAGTATAATGTCACAGTTGCCTATCATAGGGCTGTTTTGCTTGCCAAATACAAGTAAGCTTTGTTTACTTTCATTGATATAGTTTTATGTCTTATTTGTTATCTTCTGATGCTTAGAATTATACAAAATTAGATAGGAAAAAGAAAGTTTCTTGCTGAAACTGTGCTAAGCAATGAGTAGGCCATATTTATATCAATCTATTAGAGGAAACTGGTAAGATGTAGCCACTTCCATTAGGGCCTTTTTTTAATGTTGTCATCATGAAACATTTTGCCTACACTTTATGTTTAGTTTTAACTTCCTCTTGTTGGCTACAAAATCTGAAAGTTTTGTTCTTCCAAGGTTTCATGGCAATGGCTCCCAGTGTTCTTATTCTTAATTTCTTTTTAGTGGTTCTTGGAATATGAAGTTTTCCCATTTTAATGATGTTAGACCGTCATGGATTAAACTGCAAGTGGTGTTTTATTTGCAATGAGAATTGATGGCTGTCGATTTTCATTCTCTCGAATTTTTTTCGAATACGGGCTTGCATTGTAGTTGCCATGACTGATGAATTTTTGGTTGGGATAGCTCTCTTCTGATTATACCACTTCCCAAATTCCCCCAGTATTGTCCTGTAAGTTCTAATATCCAGGTATCGGTAACATATGTAATATGGATTCTTATGTTGTTTCATTGGTCGGTCTTAGTTTTATGTTTCGCTTACTTTTGCATTACTGAAAAAGGTGGGAGCCAAAACAATCTGCAGTTTCTGCTCAAGATGGACTGAAAGGAGTATACCGAGTGGATGTCGATATTGTTGCGGATGAATGGAACAGGATGACCGACTTCTATGATGTTCTTGTTTTCAACACTGGCCATTGGTAATTTCTTTCTGCTAAATTATAGAAGATGTTGGTCAATTAACATATCTTCTTTTGTTATTATTTTCTGTCATCATAGGGGCTTAATATATAATTGTGAAATATTTTTCTTATGAAATGTAGAGTATCTTAATACATACTTCAACTCACGTCCCTTCATTCATATGCCTATGCATGTGCAAAGCAGTTATCCTGGGCCATTCCTCTTCGAGAAAATCCTGCGCTAACCTTTGATTTAATCTTTGATTAGGTGGGGCTATGATAAGTTCCCAAAAGAGATGCCTCTAGTCTTTTACCGGCATGGGCGACCACTAAATCCTCCCCTGGGATTATTGGATGGCTTTCAAGTGGTTCTTGAAAATATGGTTCGTCACATTCAAAAGGAGGTTCCTAAGAACACTCTCAAGTTCTGGCGGTTGCAATCGCCGAGACATTTTTATGGCGGGGAGTGGAATCAAAATGGTAGTTGCTTGTTTGACAAACCCCTTGAAGAAGACCAGGTATCAGTTGATAACCTTCAGACATTCTTCAGTTAGTTTGGTTTAAAACGGAATCTAATATCAGTCTAATGAAAACCATTTTGAATTTTAAACCTATAGTTGGAATGTGCTCTGGTATATTTACATTGGACTCGATACTAATTCCTGGACAGCTTGACTTGTGGTTCAATCCCAGCAACAATGGAGTGAATAAAGAAGCTAGAACACTTAACCATCTAATTAAAGAGGCAGTGCAAGGCACGGATATTCAGGTGCTTGATCTGACTCATTTGAGCGAGTTCAGAGCAGATGCACACCCGGCAATTTGGTTAGGACAGAAAGATGCTGTGTCTATATGGGGCCAGGACTGCATGCACTGGTGCCTGCCTGGTGTACCTGATACATGGGTTGATATACTTGTGCAACTAATCCGTAATAGTTTGGAGACGGTATGATGAAATGCGAATAGAATCTTATCAAGTTTTTTCAAGCATTCACCTTGGATAATGCCGAGCATCTTCTGCCAAGTGCAATGGATACACCGATATGTCAATGTGAATGCCAAGCACAGGTGAATGCCATAAGGCTCGTCTCTTTGGAGATGAATGAGAGTTGGCTGTTTATAAATTAAACCCTGCTGCCTCTAAGGTCTCTTTTTATGGGCGTTGTTTTACTCTTCTTTTTCCATTTTTTTGGTTTTGGGGGTGGAGACCGAAAGACCGAGTTGAGGAATTCTTCTACTTTACATAGGTTTAACATTCAACTGTGTGGAAAGAATGCCCATTTTTTTCACTTGGTCATTTGATTCTGTTTATGCTTTTAACATTTCTGAACTTTGAAGTGAAATGTAAGTGCAGCTTATTATTAGCATATTGATGTCAGCTGACTATATTACCGTTATGCTCTTCACTTGAAACCTACTGGAACTAATACATGCAGCATTGGCAAGATAGTTGCTCCTTCCATTTTATTATTTTGATTTATTTCTGGTGATTCTCTCTCTAGTATGGAAGTTACTTAGCCCTTGATTTTTATTCCCCGTCAAAGCTAAATTTTCATGAACAAAACTGTCGCCAATCAATTTCAACGATGAAAAAAGATTCGTCTGACCTGAAAATTAATATAGGTTGATTTTAAGTTGATTTGGCTCTTAATAATGATAGATCAAAAATTTTAACTTTTAATTTCGATTAGGATTTGCTTGAGATTTGAGGAGATTGAAAGGATTTATCATCAGAATCAGAACCGAAAACCACCCAACAACAAAACACTACTCAACAAATCCCTATAATCGACATCTTCTCGGCTTCTGCTTATGGCGATTTTGATAAACTCAGAAAATTTGTGGAAGAAGATGGCGTCTCACTTGCAACACCTGACGGTATCAGCCATTACGCCCTTCAGTGGGCTGCTCCTAACAACTTCTCGGATATTGCTCAGTACATTATCGAGGTAAATTCGGATTTTTATCAACTTTCTGGTGGGTTCTTCTTGAGAATTGAATAACCTTTTTTTTGTTAAATATAATTGAAGCATGCTGGAAATGTGAATGCAACTGACAACCACCAGCAGACGGCTTTGTATTGGGCTGCAGTTAGGGGTTCGATTGCAGTGGCAGATGAGCTCTTGCAAAATGGAGCTTGGGTCGAAGCAGCTGATCTCAATGGTTATCGTGTAATTATTTTTTCATTTAGCTTCAGTTATCTGTCGAGTCTTGGTTGTCCACAACTCCTTATGTGGCTCTAAAAGGCTTCATTTTTGTCCGGATTACATGTCCACTAGATTTAAATACTGCACCAGGGGCATCATTTATACTTAAACCAATCTATTGTCATCTTCATGCATGCAATAGTATTTACTTTACTGCAGTTCATCTAAGAACCTATTGTTTTTAATGCAACCAGTTCATATTGCTGCTCAATATGGGCAAACATCTTTCTTAAATCATATTGCTGCAAAATATCATGCGGAATATGATGTACCTGATAACTGTGGGAGGTCACCACTTCATTGGTATGTTCTATGAAATAGGTTAAATGTGTACTTCATAATATCGGTTTGCAGCTTGAGATCATTTTAGTTTGAACTCTAATATAACCAACTAATTGTTTATTGGGAAGAGCTAGATAACTAGTACTATTAATTTGATATAGTCTTGTAGTATGTTTTGCTTTTTCGCTCTTCATATTATTTTATGAATGAAAATGGTTATAGTTGTTCATGGATGAACCAAGATCACTTTTTTGAATGGGGCTATCCCCCTAGTATACAGGCTAGTACTAGGAGGATATAACAGTTAGGTGTCATGTTTGTAAAACGGGGGTTTCCCCTACTATAAGGGATATTTACTAAGGGAGATGAATGTCACCCTTCTCAAAGTGAGTCCGTAAGTGGTGTGTTGCGCAACTCTATGAGCTTGAGCAAATTATGTGCCTGTGTGACCAAATTACCATCCCGCTCTCTATAAGAAACTAAATCACCAATGCACATGGAGATATTCATTAAGGCTCGGATTATTTCAACCGAAGATGGCATGCCAGATATATAATCAACCAGCCAGACCTACTAACCGAAAAAGATATTAGTAGAAAATAAAAGTGCTCCTAAAACTGTTTAGTACTGATTATCTGATTATATTAAGCTCAGACAGCTGCAACACACGTTACCTCGCCTGCAACACGCCATCGTCCTGAAGTGAGATACCTTCGTATGCGGTTATTCGCGACTTAGCCCCTACATTTGTGTATGTTTGCAATATATTTTCCTACCTTGAGCCACGTGAGGTTTCATTTGTTTCTATAATCACTACCAAAATATAAACAATATATATCATTAGATCTTTATGAGACTTTCCTGGAATTCCTCCTCCTCCTCCTCCTCCTCCTCCTCCTCCTCCTCATCATCATCATCATCATCATCATCATCATCGTCGTCGTCGTCGTGGTTATCGTCATCGTCAACAATATATATCATTAGTGTATAAACAATATATATAAACAATATATATCATTAGATCTTTATGTGATACCCTTTCAGGCCTCCTCTAGTACAGCATAAACAATATATATCATTAGATCTTTATGCGACACTCTTTCAGGATTACTGTTGTTCGATCCATTCGTATATTATACGTTGTTCCATCTTACCTGTGTTGTTTTCATCTTATTTGAACTTAACTAGTTAACTATGCCAGTACGAATGTGGATGAGGACGATACTGGGAAACTCGATTGCGGACACGATTTTCACACTAACTGCGTCAAACAGTGGTTGAAGTTGAAAAACATGTGTCTTGTTTGCAAGACAATAGGCTTGCTCAAGTTAAGATCAAAGGAACGAGAACTTCAATTTTATTATCATGAGTCATAAAATCCAGTAGTTAAGATGGCTGTCTTGATCATAAACTGTAAGCTTTTCGAGGCGGTTAAATAAATTTCAGTGTTATGAATTGTAGAATGAGTTTGTGGAATCAGTCGCATAAAGCATCATGACAATATGCAGATTTGAAATAATATTTGTGACATTATTAACAAACTTTAATAATGTAAATAGTTATGTCATAACCGTTTTCGTAGTTTACCCATTTCTGATGCATGTTATGTATATTTGGTTTAAATTATGTTTAGTCCCTGTACTTTTATTTTAATATCTGAATCTGTGTTTTTATTTATTTCGGTTTTGGAACTTAGGATTAATTATTTTTAATTTAGTCACTGATGTCATATCTCCTATTTTATTTATTTTTGATTTTGACATTTTACTTTCTGTTATTTTATTTTAGTCACTCAAGTTTCTATTTTTGCTATTTTTGTCCTTTAAGTTTCTGTTTTCGTTGTTTTAGTTTTTTTTAACTTTCTATTTATGCTATTTTAATCCTTTAAGTTCATGTTTTTACTAGATCTCTTGTCAAGTAAAAAGATTTTCTTTTAAAACAAATAATTTTAATCAAATTAATCACTTTAATAAATGAATCATATTTTAACTTGATATTTGATTAAGGATTTCCACCATTACGACGATGTGTAGGCGACACAGTACCAATTTCGGGCGTTGTGGGAGTGCTAATCCTTCCCCACGTGTAACCGACTCCCGAACCTGTTTTAATCGAATCTTTGGTAAACGCATACCATCTTTTGTCTTAAAAAATGATTTTTCTTAAAATTGTTTTTAAAAGACATTTTTAGGTATTCGACTTACATAACCCAAAGGTTGATGAAGACTCATATCTAATTTATTCCAAATTCATTCAAATTCACCAATTTTCCAAAATTAAATCATAACTGCGTTTTTTAAAACAATAAATAATTGTTCCATCCTAAAAATGGTTATGACAGCTTGATGACTTCACTGGGTCTTGGTTGAGATTATTGGATTGTATTGGGCTGTAAATGGGCCTTATAAATTGGGCCTGTAGAAATATATGTAACAACAATTAATAATAATAATAATATTTAATAATATTTTTTCGACCCGAACAAAAATATTATTGTTGGGAATTTAATTTAGAATTAACAGAGTTTGCACATTAGTAATTGACAGTCCATGAGCTTCCCACATTCATGAATTGCACCTCTCCTATATTTTAAGGTTGATGGTATGCTTCTTGTAAGCAACCCAAGAGAATTCAGCAGGAATAACTCACAAGAATTTCCTATAACTCATATTTAAATTGCTCAAGAATATGTTCATCAAAATAATTCACATACGGCGGCGGTGGTGGAACACGTGAATTTTTTTAATTTTTTCATTTGCCACGTAATTGTTTCGTTAAAGTGTTAACGAGATTTAACAGTTGAGGACCAAAAAGTAAACGGATCGATAATGTTAGGGATAATTTACTCTTAATTTTTAAATTGGTGACTAAAGTCGATCATACTGGAAACGGAAGGGACTATTCTCATACCTTACCCATAAACTTTTTATTATATTGAAACAAGAGAGCTACACACTAATAATATACTGAGAATTTGCAGCATTATCCATGGCAAGAACGATAATGCAAATGTAAGGCTTGAAGAACTAAAAGCAAGGGAGAAGACTTTGAAGGCCGAAGCTACGACCAATAACATTTGAACATAAAGATTTCAAAGATACTTCACGTTTAGAGTTAACAAAATTAATGTCAGGCAGCACTATATTCTTGCATGGGAATTTCTTGCTGCATTCAAAAGAACACAATGAACACCGGAATTTGAAAACATCGATGTTGGAGCTCCCGCAAAGGATGGCTACACAATCATCACCTGTGCTTATTCTATTGTTTGAAATCCGAATGTCGGTCGACCTTCTCATCTTGATTCCATCGGTGCTGGGGCTATCAGACGGGGCAAGCACTTCAACGTTTGATACATTTACGTTCTCACATCTTAAGAATGAGATATGAGTCTGTTTACTATTGACTGATCTTAGGTATTCAATCCTAAAGTTTGTCATGGAGTTGCATTTGAGAGAAATTGGAAGCGGCTTGCAGTTTATGTCCTTGGTACATGTATTGAACTGCCAAGCAAAAGGTACTTGACCATCAAATGTTCCACCACCTTTTATCAAAGTGATTTACATTTCGAAATTTGATCCAATTTGAAACATCATACGCTATCGAAACTCCATTTCCGTCGTCCCATCCAGTTTGATCCAGGTGAAGCCTTCAAAACTCAAGTCATTAGAAGCATTATGGGACCTCTGCATGGACCTGAAAACACAACCGGTCCCAACAAGTAAACACCTTTGAGTACATACACTATCGAAGCTCCATTTCTGTCATCCCATGCACGAAGAAAAGACTTCGGGTACATACTTAACTGGGGGAATTAGAAGAATTCGACGGTGCCAGGTCAACCGGTTGACATATGACATCAGCATTTCGTCACCCCTAATAGCAGAGTTTAATATCGAGTGATCGATTCGTTATAATTGATAACCTTCATGGTCTAATCGTTAGTTTTGCAACATCAATGGGGAAGAGAATAACTTATTGAAACATAAGTGATCATATATGTCATTTACCCATAGTTTATAGATCAAAACAACGTAGTCCGGCTCCCTTCATGCTTATATATTCTATCGAATTGACAGAAACGACGTAGTCCGGTGCCCTTCATCTTTTCCAGTTTTCGACGAATGACCCGCGGAATCGAAAATGGGCCCCACTCTGACAAATACCAACCAATCACATTTGCTTGGCATCGTTTCCTCGCTTCTAATTGGTTGCTTAATGCCACGTCATCTCCAACAATCCTCCACCATTCATCTATAAAAAAGTTGTGCTAATATTTAATCCAAAGGAGAAAAAAACATCAAATAACAAATTTATAATCAGATTTCGGTTCTCTTTCCACCTATACGGAGTTGTTTTCCGGTGGACGGACGACGATGGCGGTCGCCGGGTCTAAATCTCGCATTCTGCCATTGGCTTTCGTTTTATTTACGATTATATCCTCTTCCACCGCCTTGGTTTCAACTCCCTATCCGAAAGCCATCTCTGTAAGTTTTTTCTTTTACGATCCATTGATTTTTTTGGGGTTTTTTATACGAATTTGATGGGTTTTCTTTTTGGGGTTTTTTTTAGGATTTGAAAGATGCTGTTGTGAAGGGATTGGGATTCCAAGCAGATGATTTTAAGATTTCTGGTTTCGATATGAGGGATGCCCTTGTGGGCCATTCGGTGGCATATGAATTCGACATTGAGATCGATAATAAAGTGATTCCTTTTAAGCTTTTGGAGGATGTAAATCGTTGGGATTACGTTGATTTGCCCATTTTTAAGGTGGAAGAGCCGGCTAGACCCGGGTATGAAAATGGGTTGGTGGAGCAGAAGGGGATTTCGGACAATGGGTTGCCCGTTTTGGCCCCGTTTCAGCTGGCTGGACCCATGGAACTCTGGATTCAGGATGCCAAAGATATGCGAATCTCCTTGCCGGTGAGTTTTTATTCTTGTTATATTTCCCCATTTTTCTTATAACAATAATTTTTTTCTTTGAAGCTTTGATATTAAGAATTTATTACTTAGGAATCTTAGCATTCAGTATTCATAATAATAAGGTTATTGGTGGGTTGATACTCTTGCATATCTTTGAATTATATTTATGGAGTAAATCTTATTGGTGGTTTGATCCTGCAGCACGATGTAGATGCCGGTGTCCTGAAAAAGGTTATTTTAGCTGATGGTGCCGTGGTGACTGTCAAGGGTGCAAGATCAGTTAGTCTGCGCCATTCGGTCGATCTTCCGTTGCCACTTAACAGAACTAATAATGGTTTTGCATCCGGCCTTATGGCCCTAGCAGAGCATCTTCGTCGTGCTTCTCGCGGTCAAGATGCTCAGATCCTTTCACTTCGCATTGTTGGCCCGACTTCCCTTGCTGCACCGTCATCTACTTCTTCAAGTAAGAAGTTGAAGCTTAAGCGACTGGCGCCCGGTCTTGTAGAACTATCTTCGATGTCCAAAACTAAGACCATGGATGCCTTCTCTACTATTGATCTACAAGAAGAAGCCTCCACAGTTTTAACTCCAAAACACTTTGCTACAATGTGGCCTCTTGCTTCCGTCAATGGTTCGAATGCCAATTTGGTCGGCTTCGAGAGACTGTTATCATCTGTGTTGGGTCCAAAGGCAAACAAGAAAGGTTACTTTAAGTTTCTCAAGGCTGATGTGTCGGCTCAAACGTTTGTGAAGATTGGTTTCGGGATGGAGAAGAAGTTGAAAGAAGGAGATGGGTTTAGTTTGGAGGGCTTTCCTGAGTGGAGGACAAAGCCAGAGACGGTGAGTATGAACTTTGAGGTACTCGCTAAGGTCGAGGGGGAGAAAGTTATACCGGAGAGAATCATGCAGGTCGACCCTGTTGCTATCGAGGATACAATCGCACCAAACGTGCTGGAAGGGAACACGACCATGTCAACCACTCCTGTTGTTCACCCTCCTCCGAATCCCTTCACCTTGTAAATTGCTAAAGGGAGAATAAGTGTCGAAGGTTTGAATTTGTTATCGAAACTGTAAAGACCGAAAAGAACCGAAAAACCAGAAGATGAGAACATCATTGTTATTTAGGTCTCAATCCATGGAGGTTCTTCAAAGTATCAAAAACATATACAGTCCCTTTTAACAGATTTTAAGAAAGTTTATATATTAAACGATCCTCTCAGCAACACTAAATTCATTTGGTGATGAATGCAATACCCTTTTGAATGCTTCCAGCTAACTCTTCTTTTGCTTTCTCCAAACCAACCCTGATTAATAACCAGAGGGATTGACTGAGTTAATGTGCTATCTCTACCTAAAATAATAATAAGTGATTTTGTTTCCGACATAAAATATACCTCTCGTATTCGTTTAAAGGTCCTAGTTGAAAGACTTCCTCGGCTCCGGTACGACCAAGTTGTACCTTGGTTGCAAAGAAAGGAAGTTCGGTAACCTGCAATCGAGATTATTAAAGAAAATGTGAAAATACAAGAACCAAGAAGAGTGTTGGCATGAAATGTCCGTCTGAGAGGGTACCTGGGAAGCTACAAAGGCACATTCCACGATTCCGGCATCGCCTCTCAAGCCTCGGAGGCATGCATCTGCGAACTTGACAGCTGCATATGCCTATACGCACGTAAAAATCTTTGCTTTAGTTTGATTATCCATAACATTTCGAAAGAAAATAAGAAAAAATCTGGAACAGAATCAATTGAAGATAGAATGGCCAACCATTGACAGAGTAGCAGATCCAGCACCAGCTTTTGCCTGCACAAGTGAAAAGATGAACTTATAATTCGAGCGTATCGATATATATAACCGTAAGAATAACACTTTCTCTTAGTAACTATCCCATATTCATTTAGAAATGTCGAACAATGTTCTAACTTCTATCGTAAATGGTTGAACATGGGAGACGAGACTAAGAAATATTGATGGATGTTCCAACTTCTACCGTTTATTTCATTTGTTGATTCTGCAATCTCTATAAGGGAAAAAAAGTAACATTATTATACCTCAACCACTTCGGTACCACCGTTTTGAATGCGATTTGTTAGGTAATTGGTTTCTTCAGGGGTGAAACTGCATGGAGGTTTCACCTGCAAAGATTTGAATCAACTATATTTAACTGATGATAAATTATCAGAACTTAAAACTGAAATTTATAGATACAGGTGAAGACCTGTGACAAAAGAGGCAAAATTGTCACTCCTGCATGACCTCCAACAACAGGGACATTAACTTCTCTTGGATCAAGTCCCAGGACTTCCGCCTGTTTGGAAAAATTGCATATATAAGGAGAGAAAACCAGAACTGCTGCAAATTACTTGGTGCTCTATTAGAAAATATGAGGAATGCAATAGAATGGTGGCTAAAGACATCGATTCTCCCATAGTCTAACATTATACGGTTATGCATACCACAAAAGTGTTTGCTCTGACGACATCAAGAGTTGTAACTCCCAAAAGTCGCTTCGGGTCGTAAGTACCGGCCTTCTTAAAGACCTCTGCCGCAATCGGAACTGTAGAATTCACTGGATTGCTTATCAGATTAACAATTGCATTTGGGCAGCACTTTGCAACTCCTTCACAAAGTGTCTTGACAATTCCAGCATTGATGTTGAAAAGGTCATCCCTTGTCATTCCAGGCTTTCTTGGAACACCAGCAGGTATGATCACAAGGTCCATGCCGGTCAACGCACTCTCGAGCTGTGGCTGCCCCAGGAAACCACGTACCTAGAACCCCCCAAAAGAATATTACTTGTATCGACGTTTTCAAATAGACATAATAATTTGTGTTCACTATTAAATGATTGAAGTCGGAGCAAACAGGAGAAGAAATATTACCACTGCACCAGTGTCCATGTGACTGAGATCAGCTGTGACACCAGGGGAGTTCACAACATCATAAAGATGAAGAACCGAAACGAGCGGATTCATCTTCATTAACATTGCAAGAGGCTGGCCAATGCCTCCAGCAGCTCCTAGGATTGCAACTTTGAACCCTGATGACCCTCCTTTTGCTCGGCAATCAGCTCGCCTCAAAACAGAACTTCCCTCCATCTATTAAAACCAACACAAAACAATATACGACAAAGCCACCTTACTAATTAAAACTTGTTCCTATTAGACAACACAGAAGAGAACCTGTGGATTCAAAGGCTGGAGATGAGCCGCGATCATGGTGATGCGCTGGTTAGCCTCCATTTCCTTTCTTCTTCCAGAGAGATAAACAGACAGTGGGGGTTAAAGTGTGGGGGGAGGTTAATATTAGGTTCTACCCGGATAAGAATGAATGGATTTAAACAGAAAACCAAAAGAAGAGATAACGGTGAAGTTGACATAAATATATATATATATATTTTTGAGAAATTCAGATTGTGTGGAAACTAGCTTTTGAAGTCCTTATCCTATCTTTTAATCGCAAAAGAAATGTGGCTCTCAAAAACATGGTCTGGGTTCATTTCGAGGGCGATAAAATACTTGAGATGTCTGCTTTTTCGCTCAAAAACTTGTTGTGTGTGAATTTTGCAGACTGTTAACTGTAATAAATGATCAAATATTTACTTCATCAACAGCTGCATGTCGTCTAAATCAAAATTTACGATCAATTTTTTTTTTTACAGAAGCTGGTGCGAACTTTCATCGTAGCAGTAAATACTCGGGAAAAGATAAATAGACGGCATATCACACCTAGAACAAAGTTATGGCAATGGATTACAATTACAGTTCTATTACAAAAATTGTAAAAAAAATCCAACTCAAAACATCAAGGCTATAATGTCTGTCACAGTATCAGTGTAGGGATTCAATGTCGTGACAACAATGCTAGTAGACGATAATTTAAGCGTAACCAAACTAGTTTTCGGCCATGGTGAGCACTTGGTCCTCTAATGGTAACCAAAGGTTTAGTTGGATGTAACTAGGCCTTTGATTTCTTCCCCTTAGCTTCAGCAGCAGGTTTGGCCTTGAAAGGCATGAAGGACTTCCCACCCATGAACGGCCGTAAAACTTCTGGTATTTCAACACCGTCTTCCTTCTGGTAATTCTCGAGGATGCAGCACAAGGTCCTTTCAGTCGCCGTGAGAGTCGAGTTCAACAAGTGCACATATTGTTTTGCCTGTTCATTGTTCTGCGCAACAGGTAAACAACAGAAAGCGATTACAAAGCATGGAGCAGTAGAACGCAAGACTTGGGATGATAGATATTAAGTTTTGGAAGTAGTTTTAGATTAATGATAAACTGGTTTGAACTCTTATGAAGAGGGGAAAAAGGATGAATCGGTTTATATTTCTTAAACACTTGCACTCTTCTTTTGTTATATAAGGAAAGAAACCCATACAGCCCACCTTTTTCTGCCCATATCTAATTTCCAGTCTCCTTGATTGATAATCTGTACAGTTCGAGCATGACACAAGCTCTCTGTAAGTCTGAGATGCAGGAAACCATGCTTCCAGGTCATATTTCTTGGCAGCAGCATCATTAAGAGCACCAGAAACAATCACCACAACTTGATAAGGAAGCTTTAGCTGCAAAACAGAAGTCACACTAATCCATGTAAAAATTCTTTCGCCTTAAAAATTCGGATGAATTAAGTTTCAACCAGAGGTAGTACAGAATAAAGTGAGGAAAACTTTGTGCATGGTGAACTTCTATTAAAAGATAGATTTGGAGCACTTTAAGTTCAAGGGCAAAGACTCCAATTTCTTTATTTAAAAGTGATTTTGTTTCACAATGAAAACCAAAAAGATTATCCCATTACCACCACTAACCCTTCCACATGGCATGGGAAAAAATATAAAGGTAGCATGATAGGATTCATTGGTACAGATAAAACTCACATTCAAAGAGTTCTAATGATAGATACAAATGAGATTAGGTGAAAAAACTGGAAACTGTTACTAAATGCATATGAAAGAAGTTACCAGCTGATAAAAATCCTCAGAATTTTTAATCATTTCCTCATGCATGTCCCAGGAATCATTACCATTTGGACTGGTAATGCAGAACTGCTCCACTTTTTCAAACTGATGAACCCGGAAAATACCTAGAGTATCACGACCATGTGAACCAGCCTCTTTGCGGAAACAAGATGAATATCCAGCATATCTGGGGAAAAATATATTTTCATAAACAAATAGCAGCAGGAAACTCTTGACTAGAAATATAGCCATGACTTCTTTTTCATGGTTAGAACCTTTTAGGCAGCTCAGAGGGCTGGATCCAGTCATCTATGTGGTAAGAACAAAGTGGTTGTTCAGCAGTTGCAATAAGATATTTATCCTCACCCTCACTAGTCACCTAACGAACATCAACAAAACCTGTAATGCTTTTTCACTATAGAATATGAAATAATTGACGAAAACATGCCTGTCTAATGACTGGAAAATTCTTAACCTTGAAGAACAGCAATCATTTTCTTTTGTTTCTATGTCCTAATTATAAGAGGAATACTTCCTTGATAGCAAGAAAAGTAACAAAATTAAATATCTCAATTCTATAATTCAAATCTTAGAACTTGAAAGAAAATCAGGACCACCTCAGTATATGGAAAGATGTGAGTCTCCAAATCGATATAACAATGTTACCTTGTAAAGTTCCTCATCAAACTGTGCCAATTGAGCACACTTGGCCATAACCTCTTTTCTCATGAAGAACGGTGTTTGCAAAGCTGTATACTCCCTTTTCTCCAAAAAATCTAGCCCGAAATTTATCAAAGCTTGATTCAGGCGCACCCCATCTCCCTTTAGGTAGTAACCTCGACCTCCTGCTACATCAGCACCTATAGTACAGGAGAACATCAGCTAAAATGATTCCAAGATAGACTAGTCAATTCAATTAGCTAGCTGAATTCATGCATAAAACAAAGCAAATTTCGTCATTAGAGAGTCAGCCTAAGGTTCTATAAACTCATAACTTAAAGAGAGGCACTAAACATCTGAAAACCAATAAACAATATATTCCATTACATACATCAAAGCATGATAACTTTGAAAATGCAATTACCCTTTTTTGTATCTGCAATCCCAAGAAGCTCGACAAGCTCAACATGATTCTTTAACTTGGGTTCCACACGCTTCTCACCCCAAGTTCTAATCACAGCATTATTTGCCTGCAATATATTGGTCAGTTCAGTAAATTACAATGATTAAAGCATAAGCAATCAAAAATTGAGGGAATGAACAAAATTTGATGCGTCAATCACCTCATCATCACTGACGGGAACTGAATCGTGCACAAGGTTACCGATTTTCTCCAATTTAGATTTCAAAACATCCCAAGAATCCTTAACCTCAACGTCTTTCTCGGCTATTTTCTGCTTAACTTCCTCTGTCTTTGCAATCATCTCTGATGCATCTTGCTTAGCCTTTTCCACACCGGTTCCAACAAATAAAAACAAATGAAGAAAATCACAGAAGTAACAAAAAAACACAGAGAGAGAGAGAAAAACTCACAATTTTAAGTTGAGCGACTTGTTTGTTGATCTTATTGAACTCTTTTCGCAGATTTTCAAGTTCATATAACACTGTTCATGAAATTTATCATTAAAAACGAAAAATGGAAAAATCAAATCGAAACGTGAGAATGAGACTGGGAGATTACGTTGACGGTAAACTTTATCAAGTTCGATGATGGCGTCGACATCTCCGACGTTGGCGTAACGCCGCCGCAAAGATTTACGAATGATCTCAGGGTTGTGACCCTTCTCCTCCCTGAACAAATTGATATCCAGCATATTTTTCTCTCTTCATAAAACAATGTGAGTGAAATCGAATGTGTCCGGACTCGGGAATGAACCAGCACTAAAGACGAAAAAAGTAGAGCAACAAAAAAGCCCTAGCTTCTGATATTGTTTGGTTTCAAGGTTAAACTATTCTTTACTCGGATAGTTGTTCTGGGCTTCCAATCAACCGGGCTTTGCCCGTTGACACTGTTGGGTCAAATCTATTATATAAAGGGTAAACTTCAAATTTGGAAACTAAACTTTACTTCTCCTATTTCACTCACTATACTTTAAATATTTTCAATTTTATCATTGAATTTAATAAATTGAGTTTTTTTTGTCACTCGACAGTTAAATAGTTAACTCATTAAAATTTACAGTTATATAAATATAAAACGATGTAGTTTTTTTAATTTTTTTAAATGATGTATTTTTAACGTCGTTAGATACTTAATGATGGAGTGACCAAAATAGGAAAAAGAGTAAAGTTCAGTAAAAAAATCCAATGTATTAAGCTTAGTGAAAAAATTGAAAACTTTTAAAGTTCAATGAGCAAAATAGAAGAGAGATTAAAGTTCAGTGATAATATTTTCAATTTACCCTTATATAAAATGTATTTTGGGTTTGGGTTTCTCGGGCTGCTATTAATTTAAATCATACCCACCATCGCTAGGTGATGGGTTTGAGACCTTATCCGCCTCGTATCCGCCCGCTCAACTGGAAACTAGTCACCATATAAATTTTGGATCATTATGAATGTAGATATAATTTTATATATTATTCTGTAAATCTTAAGATTTTATAGGAAATGACTTGTAGTTTAACATAATTTTAGGGTATAAACATTTTTAGAATTGAAGACTATTGTTTCTCATATCTCAAATTGACGGATATGTACGGGTACGTGCTGGTACAGACGTATATGAGATGGGTAGTGAGTATGTAACACCCCCAACCCGTATCCGACCCGAATACGAGTATGAGGTGTCACATTGACTTTTCAAACTTTGACTCTTGACAAAATTCAAAGAATTTTTAAAACATTTCATTAAAGTAAAAGCGGTTTAGTTACATAAACTGACCACAATAACCAAAATCAATCAGAGCATATTTAATTCAACCAATTAGTATATGCCAACTATACTCAAAATAACCAAAACATTTAAATCCTCTATTTTCTGATCTGAAATTTTGTAAGGGAGGTGATGACCTGTCTTACTCTTCTTCTCTTCTCTTCTTGCTTCTGTAACCTACGTGTGAAACAATCATACGCTAAGTCGAAGACTTAGTGAGGCAATAAACATATAAGGTAAACGGTAACTAATAATCATACATAAACAATTACTACTATCATTTCATACAACACATACTTTTACATGTAACAAATATATATACATACATATATGTCATTATCATTCATATCTCTTATCTCATGTTCCTATGATCTCTTATGTTCATATCATATATCTTATAAACTTATTATTATATCATCATTTCAATCAATTATACTCATTCACATATACCTTAACATGTACTCATGTATATCATATAACATATACCATATATACTATCATAAAACACGT